CCAAGGTAATACCCAATTCTATTTTAGTTTTTAAAAATCCTCGTCTGGATTCACTAGATTGACTTCACAACTACCCAATGGGTTACAGCCCAGTTTGAAAAATGCTGCTCCTAAGGTCTGCACAATTGGCTCCCATTGGTTCAATGGTTGTTAACGTGTCATAAACTCTGCAGGAACAAGAAGTACATGTGTTAGGAAGTGGAAGTTGGGTTAAGGGAGAGTCAATAAGCATGTAAGATGGTGCTTGCCAGTCAGGACTCAAGAATAAGGCCTCTAGAGAAGAGATTTTTGAGCTCCAAAGTGGGACTCCAGATTCAAGCAGTAAGGCAGTCCCCCAGGCTTTTCCGCTGAACAGATCCAATCTGTGGTTATAAAAGACTCCCCTGGACTAGCGGGATGGACCTGCAATACAGGGGGTGTCCTGAGATGCTTTTGTTCTGTGATTTGTACTCAGAACCCAACTCCAACTTCTGCCCAGACTTCTTCAGCTCATGGGAGGTCAGGATGAGCAGACAGATGATTTTTGGCAGTGCTAGTGCCAGGCTAGCTAAAACACCTACTGTGTGCAGGACATGCATACGTATATGGAGGGTACATGCCAGGGGTGAGGATATATAGGCCATGTACTCATTTACATGAGGCTAAAGGAAATACATAAGTAAATTATATATACATATATATTAAGGATACATTTCTATCATAAAGACAAAACTCAGAACAGTGGTTAGGGGATTGAGAGAGAGAAAGACACAAGGAAGGGACCCAAAGGGGCCTTCAACAGTTACAGTAACATTTTATTTCCTAATCCAAGTGGTGAATACACAGTTGGTTGTTTTATTACTCATTAAACATTAAAGATGCAACGTATGCACATGTACACACACACAAACCTATTGGTATGCATGACAAAAAATATAATAAACCATGAACTCTAACAGTAATGAGCTCACAGGCTCAAGTGGAAGACAGACCTAATCATAACTAATATATTACACGATGAGATCATAAGAAATACAAAGAAACCATTCATTCTGGCTTGGGTAAGTCATATGACCTTGGGTAAGTCATTTTATTTCTTAAAGCCTGTGGCTGTTCAAGGTAGATATACAGAAAATACACACACACACATACACACACAATAGATTTATTGTGAGAATCAATTTATATGTAATGCATGAGAAAATGTCTGACAAACTGAAACCCTGTGAAAAAATGTGAGGTAATATTATCACGTTGGGCACCTTTGCAACTCTTTATTTCTTCTGTGGAACTGCCATTCCCCACGGTTTTGTGCTCAAGTGGCAGTATGAAGGAAGCAGGCTGTAGGTGACTATAAATTATTCTCAACCTAATGCATTTTGCATTTTGCATCAAGCACAGTGAGGGGCAGAAATCAAGATGGCTTTGGCTACTCCTGAATAGCCTGTGACTGTCAGAACAGGGATTCATTGCTTAAGGTACCCATGAGGTGGCTGGACTCAAGGGACTAGGATTTTGAGCTAGTGGGCTATTTGTGGCGGGGTGGAGGAGGGTGGGGGGGGTGGAGCTGAGAGAAGAGCACTAGGTTTCATCTTCCCTAGAGGCTCCATCCGTCCACTGCAGACCTCCACTGCCATTACCACACTGGGCCCTGGCGGGTGCTTCTCCTTAGTACTTGGGCCTAAGCATGGACACAAATCCCTTCCCCCAGCTCTTGCTGGCCTCAGAAAGCACAAGAACACTATGGCTTCCAAAGCTGCCAGAACAGGCTCTCTTTCAGGGTTACCAGAGGCCGATTCTTGCCCTTCTGCTGTCTGAGACCCCTAGCACCAGCTCAGCCAGCAAGCACAGCTCCTCAGCCTCTTTGCTTAAGACCCTGATTTCTGGCTCCCAGCCCTCTCCATGTGAGGAGTTCTACCTTAAACTCTTGGAAGCTTGTTCTCAGGTATAAGGTGAGAATTTGTTAAGATGCAGGAGTCCAGGTTCAAGCACCCTGCAGATAAACTGACTCATGAACTTAGGCTCTGAACATTCTCTCTCTCTTGGACAGATATGTCCCAGAGTCTAGGGGAGACACACCCCAGGTTGGCGTCTTATTAGTTAAGAGTCCTGGCTAACAAGATATGGAAGCAACCTAAGTGTCCATCAGTAGATGAATGGATAAAGAAGATGTGATACATATACACAATGGAATATTATTCAGCCATAAGAAAAAAATAAATCTTACCATTTGCAACAACATGGATGGAGCTGGAGGATATTATGCTCAGTGAAATAAGCCAGGTGGAGAAAGACAAGTGCCAAATGATTTCCCTCATTTGTGGAGTATAACAACGAAGCAAAACTGAAGGAACAAAATAGCAGCAGACTTAAGAGACTCCAAGAAGGAACTAGTGGTTACCAAAGGGGAGGGGTGTGGGAGGGTAGGTGGGGAGGGAGGGAGAAGAGGATTGAGGGGTATTATGTTTACTACACATGGTGTGGGGGGGATCACAGGGAAAACAGTGTAGCACAGAGAAAGCAAATAGTGAATCTGTGGCATCTTATTACACTGATAGACAGTTGACTGCATTGGGGTATGGGTGGGGACTTGATAATATGGGTAAATGTAGTAACCAGATTGTTTTTTAATGTGAAACCTTCATAAGAGTGTATATCAATAATACCTTTAAAAAAAAGAGTCCTGGCTGAATAGGTGGCACATTCAAATGGTAACTCAAGGAGAGTTTAATAAAAGGATTATTTTCAAATGGATGGTAGGGCTTGGGGATATCACAAGGGAGCATACAGAACCCTCAGCACTCTCAGAAGCACTAATAATAGCAGGTGCTGTTGCCAGCTGAGGCCTGCAGAAGCAAGGGGAGAGGGTGCTCCTGGCACCTGGAGACAGAGCCCTGTGAAGGGAGCTGCCTGACAAGAGCAAAGATTTCCAATGGAGGGATGCAGCCAGGCCTTGGAGATCCAGGCAGGAAACCTGGTAAATGAGGAACCCGACCTCACTCTCACTCTCCTCCCTCCTTTGCCCCTCCAGCCAGTTGACCTACCCTAACAGGGAACCAAAGGACAAGGCAACCCACTGCTGTATTCCAGTTGGATCAGCTTGCAGGGCCCAGAGCCTGGTGGTCCTGAAGGAGCAAGTGACGCACAGCCTCACAGCCAAAGTTGGAAACAGATTGACAGGGGCCAATCTTGAGCAGCACAGCCCAACAGTTAAGATAGGGAAACCTAGAGTGTACCAGCGATGGCAAAAACATTGTTAAGCAGTTGATTGGGGAAGAACACCCTCAGATCACAGGAATTCAGAGACAGAAAAGGCCATTGGAAGGTGAGGGCATGTGCTTGATGGCTGAATTCAAGAGTCCTATGTTTAAACTAGGACAGTCACGTTTTTGCAGAGGTATTTTTGGCATGCAAGAATCATATTCACTTAGCAATTTCACTTGCAGCAGCAGGTCAAAATTTCCCATCAACTATTTTCAAGGACATTTAGAAACAAATTTGTAGCAGACACTCTATTATATACTTTATTGAGCATCCTTGAGAGACTTAGTGGAAAGATCCTTGTGCAATTATTCAGAAGACCTGTGTTCACCTTCACTTTGCCTCCAACTCATTGGGTCCTTTAAATCACTCCCTTCCCTTCTCTTGGCCTTGGTTTCCTTCTCTGTATTGTGACAGGGTTTGCTGTGATCTCTAATGATCCCTCCTGATTCTGGCTAAGATTTTAATAGGAAGTAGATGATCAGAACAAGTCTCAGCACACAGGTCTTACCTATGATTTTTGTGGATAGGAAATCAGACAACAGAACTCACGTAACAAAAGCAAAAATGAACGGGTGGGAGACCATATCAAACTGAAAAGCTTCTGCACAGCAAAGGAAACAATAAAATGAAAGGGCAACCTCCAGAATAGGAAGGAATATTTGCAAACCATATATCTGATATGGTTTATCAGATATATTATTATTCATCTGATATATTAACATATCAGATAAATTATTAAGGGTTTAATACCCAAAATACATAGTGAATTCAAACAACTCAATAGTAAAAAAAAAAAAATCCTAATTTTAAAAATGGGCAAAGGACCCAAACAGATATTTTTCCAAAGAAGACATACAAATGGCCAACAGGTACATGAAAATGTGCTCAACCTCACTAATCATCAGGGAAATGCAAATCAAAACTATAATGAGATATCACCTTACACATGTTAGGATAACTAATATCAAAAAGACAAAAGATAACTAATATTGGAGAGGATGTGAAGAAAAGGGAACTCTCGTACAGTATTGGTAGGAATGTAAATTGGTTCAGTCATTATGGAAAATAGTATGGATGGTCCTAACAATAGAACTACTATATGATCCAGCAATTCCTCATTTGGGTATATAACCAAAGGAAATGAAATCAGTACTTTGAAGATAAATCTGTACTCTTATGTTCACTGCATCATTATTCACAATATTCACTATTATTCACAATAGCCAAGATATGGAAATAATCTTAAGTGCCTGTCAACAAATAAAGAAATTGTAGTGTGTGTATAGATGCGCGCGCACACACACACACACACACACACACAGGAATATTATTCAGCCTTAAAAAAGATGATACCACCATTTACAACATGGATGAACTTGGAAGACATTATGCTAAGTGGAATAACCCAAACACAGGATGACAAATACTCTATGATCTCCTATGTGAACTCTGAAAAAGTCAAATTCACAGAAGAGAGTAGAATGGTGATTAACAGAGGCAGGGTGGCACAGGAATTGGGGAGAAGCTGTTCAAGGGGTACTAAGCTGTGGTTATGTAGTGTTAATAATTTATAGGGCTCTAATATACAGTATGAAGAAAGATGATTAATGACTTAACTATGACTATAGTTAATGTATTGAATACTGAAAATCTGATGAGAGGGTAGATCTTAGGTGTTCTCAGCACACACACACATACACAGGGTAACTATATGGAGATGTATATGTTAATTAATTTGACTGTAGTAGTCATTTCACTATGTATATGTAATCAAAACATGTACACCTTAAATATGTACAATTTTAATTTTTAAAAAAGTCCCAGTTATGACAGATCAGCACAGCCAACTTGGGTGTTACAAAATTGTTCCTTTGAAATTTCTCTTTAAAATTACTCCGTTTCTCTGATGCAGCAAAGAGGCAAGAGACAATCATTGCTTCCCAGTGGACTCATGCCCATGAAAACAAACCCAAATGTACTGCTGCTAAAAAGAGTCCAGTCAGCCACACTTCCTATTTACTTGGCTTTGGACAAGTGGGCAGAGCAGACCTGAGGAAGGCGCGATACACCGCCCTGAGTCATCACCTGAAATGGCCTCCCTCCCCACGAGCCCCCTCAGGCCGAGGGGCAGACAGGACCTGCTCTCACTTCCACCGGGAGCATTTCCGCATCGAGGAGGCCTGCACTCACTTCCTCTTTACAATTCCTGCCCGCCAAGTCCCTTGCTTGCTGAAGTGAGAAAACAAAACCAGCCTCTTACTACGCACCCTTCTTCGGTTCCTGGCATTCCACCGGGCTTCCTGGAGAAGCGCTGTGCTGGGTGCGCCGGGCCAGCAACTCTCTCCTCCTGCTTGAACACGGCGGGCGTCCTCGCCTCGCCGGCCCGCCGCGGATTCCGGGGCTGCCAATCACAGATGCCGGGCTCCCGGCCGCCAAGGGGCCGACGCACGGAAGCCGGACCAGCCACAGAGGCCGCGCGGGGAGCCGGTCCGCGGGACTTACATTCCGGGGGGTCCTGCAGACACGCCTCCTCATTGCCGCGGCGCGGCTGACCTGAAGGATCTAAGCCGGCTTCCGGTGGCCGTGCCCCCTGTGCCCTGTCCCTGCCGGGATGGAGCCATCCCAAGTCAGAGAAAATGAGGCCCGAGCACAGGGAGAAGTCAGGACGAGTGACGATGGAACGAAAGGGATGGAAGTAGGAGGGCTAAGGCTCGACAATATTTATCTGGACACGGTGAGCCCGATGCCAGGCCCACCCTTTCTGCAAGAGCCGATAACTCTTTTTTGGTTAAGCTAAGTTTACTTGGGTTTCTGTCCCATAACCAAAGAAGCCTGAGTAAAACAGAAATTGGTACCTGCAAATGGGGACTCGTAAGTAATAAGGTAATAGACCCTAAAATGTGGGATTGGCTTAGCCTAGGTGATAAGGAGCCGCAAGGAGTCTCTTTCCAGGGGCAGAGAAGCTGGCCCTTCTGGACACGCCGGTAAGCAGCTGGTCACAACTTAGCTTTTACAAGAGGTCTAGGTCAGAGACGTCAGGATGTTGGAATGGGTTAGCAGTGATCTTCCAAAAAGGATGCTCTGTTGAAGCTGGGCTGTTTGAAAGCAGAAGGAAACAGCAGGCAGATAAAAGAGAGGTTCCCTCTCTTGGCAGCAAGATTCCAACGGTATAGAGAATTTGATGAATTTTTTCTTTAAAGAATGGGAAAAGCAGAAACCTGTGGCTAGGAAGGTGGAGCCTGAGTGAAGAGGGAGCATCTCATCTTGAAGCAGCATTTACTGGAACACAGCCCAGGGCCTGTGTAGACTGTCCTCCTCACTGGGAGCTTCAAGCCAGCTCAGACCAGAAGCTGAGTCCCTAGAAAGTGGACACCCCTCTAGGCCTTTGGTGAGGAGCAGGAGTCCTCCACTGTGGAGTCCAGTTTGTCACTGCCCAGTGAATTCTCACAAGTCCCCCAAGAGGTGGAAGCTTCAGAAGATCAGAGGAAATTGCTCCTATGCCAGAGAGTTCTTGCTGTCCCTGCCAAAAGGATGGGATATAGGTATGTGGCTGATGCAACTGGAATTGCTTCCCCATTTCCCCTTTTTAAGCCATGATTTTGCAAATATGTATGAGTGGTAAATGTATCATTTACTCATAGGTAGCAAGAGCATGGATATGTCCAATAGCTTGCTCAACCAAAACCTGTTCAAGCTATTGCTTTTTAAATTATTTGGCGTATGTTTATGGGTACCTATTAAGTGGCAGACATTCTTCTAGACACAATAATGAAGAAAACAAAGAACCAAAATGACTTTCAGAGTCATTCCCATACCAGGAAGCAGGACTCTTGTCCAGGCAACTAACCCGACCCAAAGCCCAGGAATCATTCTCTCCCAACCGAGTCTGTTCAGCAGGGCTCCTCCTAGATTCATCCCAAATCTGCCCACTTCTCATCATCTCTTCTGCTTCAGCTGTAGCCCTGAACATCATCTCTCAGCTAAATCACTGCAACAGTTCATTAACTGTTGCCTCCACAGTCCATTCAGCCACAGAAGTCACAGCAGCCTTTCCAAAAAGAACCCCCAAAAAACAGTTCACCTACTTTTAAACATTATAGATCTGACAAGAGCAAATATCTAGACAGTTGTATCTATCTCAGTAATAAAAATGAATACAGGGTCAATGCTGGTTTTGTTTTCTGGCAGTGGAAAATGTCATCCAATATAGAATTTGCTGCTTCAAATAAAAGCAGGTTCATGTAATCTCCTACTTAAAATCCTCCCTCCGGTAGCTTCCCAGAGCAACCAGACATAAAATCCAAACCGCTTACCTTAGTCTCCCAGAGCCTACGTGAGCCTCGCCTCCCTTGTCTCACTCTGTTTTCTGCCCATTTACTCTCGCTTTTGCTCCTAGTGACTTCTTCCTGTATCCTATTTCACACCAGCTGAGTTTGCATCCCAAGACCTTTACATCTGTCGCTCCTCCTTTTTTGGGAGACTCTTCTCCCACATCTTTGGAAGCCTGCCTCCTTCCCATTGTTTAAAGATTGCAGGATGTTCAATGGGATTTTCCTACTCTCCGGAATTCTGCATGAAGCTCAGAGATGAGGACAAAGAAGCTCCACGCTCACCACCTTCTCAAGAGAGCTGCCCACCATGGTACCAGACGCACCTCCTGGGACATACTGAAAGGTCTCACTCTAACCCTTTGCATCCCTCCTTCCTAATCTTTGAGATGACTGAGAAGGAGAAAAAGATGGGAGTTAGAGTGAGACTCATCTGCCTCGTGGGGAGGATGGTATTTGTGGTGGGAGGTGACCTTCTCTTATAGTGAGGAAGCCCCAGAGAGTTAGCCACAAAGCGGGGGTCCCTGAGAGAAGAGGAAATTGGCACACTGTTAGCTGGTTGGTTATCATTTCTACCTTTCTACCTTGCCCCTGGGTTTATCTGAGTAAGGTAGAGGAGGCTGGCATTGTTTCAGGATGGTGAAAGGCGCAGAAGGGGAGCTCCCTATATTCCTCCTGCTGCCCTGGCAAGAACGGCAGGATTTTCGGTTGGGCATTACAGAAGGTGGCTGGGCTTGGACCCCACACATCCTCCAGAGGACTCACCAGCACTTGAATGCCCGCTGCAGAGAGGGTGTCTATGGCCACTGTCAGCCAGCCAGGCAGGGACAGCCAGCCTAGAAAGGACAACAGCTATAGCCAGGTGAGGACACTCTTGTCCACCTCCCTGTCCTTCTGCCTGCCCCAAACACACTGGAAGAGCTGGGCCTTGAAGAAGGAAGGGGAGAGACATCTCAGAACCTGATCATACTGCTTCCCCATCTTCATTCCTAGCAGTCAAGCGTCCCAGATCAAGAATGCTCTGTGTCAGAGCAAGGGGAAGGGAGAAGAGGTTTAATAGTTGGAGATGTAAATCTAAAAGTAGACTGGACTTCTGATAACCGGGAAGTCAGGAGAGCTTCCTGTGTCTGTCCTGGGCCCGTTGCCCTCAAGGTACATCTGTCATGCTTTCCCAGCCCTGACCCTCATCGGGGCGGGAGCTTGATGCCTGCGGGCTCAGCTGACTCCCTTTGCTGATGAGAGATTGGAAAGCAGGAGGAAGAAACAAATGAAGGCATTTTTCTTCCACTCTGCCTCCCGTGCAGTGTCTGGCTGTGGGCTCTTCTTCCTTTGTGAATCCGGGCCTAGCACAGTCCAACTTTTGCTTTTTGATCTTAGCCTCAGGACTCTGGTAACATTTGGTTATAATTGTTCTACAGAGTTTGTTTCTCAGAAAGAGCACCTGGATGTATCATCTTGAGTCTCTGCAAGTATCTATTTTGTTCTCAGTTTGGCTGGCTACAAAATTTTAGTATCATCATTCTTAATCCACAGAATTATTTACAATGTCCCAGAGAGGAGGACAGTCTACACATATTGCTCCAGTGTCTTCTAATTTTTAATATTGCAAATGAGAACTCCAATGCCAGTCTGAATCTCTTTTTGTATGACAGTTTAGGATTTTTACATTATCCTTGAAATTCAGAAAATTTACCAGATATGTCCTTGGGTGAAATTACTGAAACAATTCTATCTAGGACTCAGTAAACCACTTCAATCTGTAGATAATAATTACTAAACTCAGGACATTTTCTTCCATTATTTTGTTAATTGATACTTCACATCTATCCATTCTTCTTTATGATTCTTGTTATACTATATATACATATGTATATATATGTATATATATATATATACATAGGAATATTCTATCTAACTTCCTCTTATTTTTTATCTCATATTTATCTTGTCTATGTTCTGAGAGGACTGTATTGATTCTTATGAGTTTGATAAATCACTAAGTCAATTTTCAATACTATGCATTGCTGCTGTTCTGCTTTATTTTGGGGGCACAATCATGTATTTTATTTTCAAGGACTGTTTCTTTTTCTCCTAGAATTCCATTTCATGCTTCTTTTGCTCTGACATTTCACTGAAAAACAAATTTGAATTTCTGAAAAGTTAGCTCCTGTTTTCTCCAGTAATTCTTTCTAATTGGCTGTTGATTCGGTCCCCATTTTGGGGCTGCTCAGTCTCCTCAGATGACTAACTGGTGCTTGTTGGGGTTGGCTGGTATTTGTCAATATGGAAATCTGTGCTGCAGAGGACTGATGGCTCTTCCAGTGATGTCGGCAAGTGTGCAGGTCACGGTGGGCTGTCCTAGCTGCTCCCAATGCATCCGCACCTCCAGCCCCTCTGGCGCCGCTGTGTGGGTGTAACATCAGGACAGATTCACAGGTAGGCCCTGCTTTTGCTGTGGTTCTCAGATATCCACTCGTGTCTTCCGAAAAGTTCTCAAGGTTTCTGCCCAGTTGATGTTCTTCCTATTTAACAATGGTTTCAGGTCTCCCTACCCCACCCTCCCATCCCCTTATTTTTACTGTCTTATCATTTCAATAAGATTTGGGAAGTTACTGTAAATTCAAACTGTAATCTTGAAATAAAATCTGTTATAGCAGACTTTCAACTGAGCCTGACAGAGCAGGTTCTGCAGTGCCAGCCCATAGGCCTCCAGCTTCCAATGTCAGCATCTACATCTCTTTGCCTGAAAGTTTTCTCCAGCAGCCTGAGCCCCTCTGCCTGGGCAGGGCAGGTCAGAAGCACCCCTGCCTTCCAGGGACTGGCTGGCATATAAATGCCACAGCTCCTTTGTTCCTTATGGAGAAACTGAGGTGCCGGTTCTACACTGGCTCCCAGAGCTCTCACGAGGAGAGCATCATCTGGCTACCTGACCCCAGGGGTGACTAGATGGTCCCTGCAAAGCCTGCCCTCCCTTCTCTGTCTCACTTTCTCACTACTCTGGGTGTGTCCTGGCATAACCTCCTTCATGAGCTACTTGCAAATGAATCCTTGTCCAAGGGGGAAACCATATCAAAATGCTGACAGTGTGGCCGAAAGTTCTGTCTGCTGGTGTGGAGCACGAACTGGAGGCCGTGAGGTCAGCATGGAGGTTTGAGCAGCAGTCCTGCTGAAGGTTAAGAGAGGAGCCAGCACTACTCTGTCTCAAAGGGAGATCAACACGTGCAACAAAGCCAAATACTTTAAAAAATATTTTGACATTTAGAAAAATAGAAGTAGCCATCCTGAAAATATTCAGACTTTGGTGAACTTCCCAGCACTTTATTTTTCTTATTGTTGTTATTGTTCTGCTTGTTGTTACCAAGGAAGCACTCAGTCAATATTTGTTGAATGAATTAATAAATAAATGGCTCCAAGGTTACTGGCTGGATGGTGGTGCCATTCACTGAGAGAAGAACCAGAGGAAAGTGAGCAAGTCTGGAAGGAGAGGCAGGGTAGGCAGTCTCCTTCACCAGCGTATCAGGTAACAGGGCACTCTGGGTCCTTCTTGGAACTGAGGGTGCTAGGCAGGCTCAGGCAGGGAGTGATCAGACCATTTCACAGGCACTGTGGCACGTGCTCCTGCCAATCAGAAGGCATCCAGCCCTGGTGCCAGAGCTGAATCCTGGAACCCCTACTGGGCCAGATGGTAACGTTTTAGCTGTCGGATTATTGGGAAGATGAGCAAAGGGCCAGGATAGCCAGAATATTCAGGGGCTTGGGAAGGTGAGCAGTCACCAGTAGGTAGAGCTGGGGGTTGTACAGGTTGAGGCAGTCCTGGGCTTAGAGGCAGGCAGAGAAACCAGGCAGATTGGAAGAACCATTCAGAAAGGCTAGAGGAGGCCCCCTAGCTCCTCCTGAGAGGCAACTGGGCTGGCTAGGAGAGCGAGCCCGCATTGGAGGGTGAGCTTTACTCAGGGTCAGGATCCCATTCCTGGTGCTTCCAACAACATAACTCAATGGAGGGTGATTTCTATTACTGTCTCTCCTTTACAGATGAAGAAACTGAGCTGCAGGGAATGTTGAATGGAGGGCATGATTTTTAGTAACTTGCCTATGATTACATGGTTAGTAGGTGGCACAGCCCAAATTCAAACCCAGGCAACAGCTCTACATCTAAGTGCCCCACAAGTTGAAGTACAAGGTGGAAGACAAAGGGGAAAATCAGCTAGTGGTGGTCAAAAGAGCTTTGAGGGGGCTCAGTGGTGTCTTGGTGACCCAGGAGTTCAAGGAGGAGCCACAGAGCTACTTCTCCAGTTGCTTGGTTAGGCGAGGACCACATACCTATGCTTGCCTCAACTGGTAAGGTCTCTGAGGAGTTGGGGGAGGAGGAGATACACAGGAGATTTGAAATAGTCCATGACATGAGAATGGGTTTGGTGGATTTGAGAAGTGGGGGCATTATATACCTCCAAACCCGATCATACTCCTGGATACAAAATCATCAATCAATATTTCTGAATGGATGAATGAATAAGCAAAAGACCTGCTTGAGGCCCCCGGTCATTGCAAACCTCCTCACATTTCGGATGGAGGAATTGTTCCTTCTGCACAACGCATATTGGATAGAGCTGCCAATCACAGTCATAGGCACAAGTGGGGCCAATCAGAATCCTTTCCAGGAATTGATAAAATTCCAGAGGGGAGAGGAAGTCTCCTCCTTTCTCTGAGGCCACTCTCTGGGGTGGTGAAGTAATATAAGCCTGGCACTGTCTGCGAACAACCCCTGAACATGAAGGAATCTTGTCCTCACTGGAGGGATGCCAATTACAAAAAAAAGCAGAAGACAGCAGACAGGCAGACACACAGAAAATAGACTGAGTGACCACGTTCACTTTCCTGGTTTCATGAGCCAATAAGTTCTTTTTGTTTTTTTGGCTTATGAATTTGACTTGTTTCCCTAATTTACTACTTACTGTTCAGCCATACTGGCCTGGTGACAGCTCCCTGAATCCATGCTGGCACCTACTAGCACTCCCTATAGGTTCAAGCAACAAAGTGCCACCATACACAGCCCAGAGGGTTTATATGAAAATTTTTACCTCAGAGAGAGTGGTTCCTGGCATCCGTTCTCCTCATTCTCCCACTGTTCTTCAGGTTCCCCAGGTGGCCATGTTCAGGTTGGCCGTGAGCGTTCCCCTGGACCTTCTCCTTCACGTTCTGTCTCCCTTACCTCCCATGCTTTCTTGGTCTCTTAGCTCCTTTGTGCTCTCCAAAGTCTACCTCCTTTAGCCCCTAAGAAGTGACCCAGACACTTCTGCCTGGAGTCTGCTTCTGCACAGGGCACCTTGGATGCTGCAGAATCTACAAAATGGAATTAGAGCAAGTGCCCCAAGACCTCTAGCACTGTAAAGACCAGCTACTTGGGCCATACCTCCACGCCCTGCTTAAGCTTGAGGGCGTTCATTGGCTTCCTAGCCTTTAGATACATTCAGCAGCAGAGTGAAGACTTAGGGACCTTTCAGCCTCTGCGTTTCAGTTGTGTGGCAAGAACACCAGATATTCAGAGGAGGAAGCATGACAACAGATAAGCTTGGGGCACTGGGGGATGTCACAGATGAAGCAGGGTCTGTGTTGGCTATCAGCAAGGGGAGGGGACTAGACCTAAAGTGGTTAGGCCTTCCTAAGACAGGGCAGGGCATGAACAGCAGCCTGGCAGAGTGGCCTATGCAGCTCACTTAAGTGACCATGAGGACACCAGGCTGGTGGCCATTGGCAAGTGGCAGGAAAGCTGATGTTCAGTGAAGTGTCTTGAATACCCACCCCAGGATTCTGACTACTGGTTCTTAGAGTATAAACAGGGCTGGGTTGATTCAGGGCCTCTTCAGAGAGGGCTGATTGTTCGTGCTGTCCTCTGGTGCACAAAGACGACTGAGAAACTAGGTCAGAAACTTCAATCCCCACTCTTCCTGGGGCAGCAAAAGGGTCTCTCCTCCTTTTGACTCTGACTCCCACCCCACGCCAGCCCACCCCTTCTGTGACCCAGGGCCACTCAGGCTTCGACTGAAATGGATGGCATTTGCACTTCATGACCTCAGGATCTTCTGCCTCCTCCTCCCTCAGTTCCTGTCCATGCTAGGCATCCCCCACCCCAGGCCTTCGGTGGGTGAGCTGGTCCTCTGCAATCCAGCTCTGGGGCTTCCCAGCCTGTCTGTAACTGTCTTCACTCCATGACTCATTAGAGACAGCCTCACTGCTCTTCCACTTAGGAAGCCCTAAGTGGAGGTTCTGGGCTGTCTGCTTTTTTTTGCTGTCCTCCATTTCCGTCCTACATCAGGGATTGTTAGGGTGGATTCCTTCTGCCAAGTTTCTGGGCCAGCCCGGTGAATGGGAGGAAATATCCCGGCATGCCCTTGCCTGGTGATTCTGTTCCTCTTGCAGGGTCAAGCCAAGAGCTGGAGAGCCGCAGACTCGGAACTGGGAGGGAGCAGATAGGCAGCCTCGTGCAGCAGTTCCTTGAAAAGATCCTGGGCACTGCAGTAGGGCCGACCCTGAGCCTGAAGCCAGCCCCAACACTCAACAGCTGTTGACCTGGAACAAGTGACTTCTCAACCTTTTTTTTCTCATTGGTAAAGTAGAGATAAAAACACCTACCTTGCAGGTTATTACGAAAGGTAAATGGGACTTTTAATAATTGTGATGTTTAATAAGTGGGAGCTGATATTATGCTTATTTTATCTCAACCTCTGGAGGGAAAAAGCCAGACTTGTCCAAAGTCATGTGTTGAGACATTCACAGTTCATCCTGTGTTACAGGCTCGGGTTCTTTGCCCACCCCATGCTGCCCCCACCATGTGGCACCAATAGGCAGGAGCAGGTGAGCATGATGGGAAAATCTTCCTGTTTTCAGATCATTTCCTGAGGCAACACAAGCAGGGTCAGCCAGCCCGCCCCAGGGCCACTTCCACATGGACGCTGGAGAATAAAGGAACTAGGGGAAAAAGTCAAACAGAAGAAAGCGCCTGGAAAAGATGGTTTTTATGTTCACTTACAATGGAAAAAAATCAAAGTACACAGCATGAAGATAAATGTGTCTCAGAAAATTCGTCCTTGTGAACCTGTCTGTTCAATTGTAGTTATAATTTGGGAGTTGCCAAATGGAAGTCATAAAATCCGGAGGGGGTGCAGGGAAGGGCCACCAAGAGAAAGGTAGTAATTATGTGCTATTTTTTTCTAGTTTCAGATAATTTGGAGTTTAAACTTTTCCAGCAAGTCAGAGTTACATAAACAGATGCCATACTAAAATATGATTGTGTAAAAATATAAAACTCCTAAAGCATGATGGCAATAATAGTTTAGGAAAAAAACATTAAAGTCTGGTAATATCATGAAATACAAATAGGATCATTTGAGCAGTTGTTTCTCTGTATGAACAGCAGTTGCAAATGATGGATGTATAATAAAGAACAAAGCATTTGGTCTGCACATAACTTAGAAAGCGGTAACATTTCTAAACACTGACTTCGTAAGAAAACATGAAGGACATCTTACACTCAACAATGGCTAAAAGGAGGAAAGTACTTTCTGAAGGATGCAGTGGGCAGAACGCCAAGGCCTCTGTTTTCAACTTGCTCTTAACCATGCCGGGACGTGTTCACACTGCGTGGGGGTTCCTGCAGAATCTAGCACCAATACATGGATCAGATTTTATCTTTGATCTGAGTCCTTTATGTCTTCAGTTTTGAGTGTATTGAGGTATGTTTTCTTTGGTTGCTGTTGTGACGAATATGTAATAAAAAAAATAATATTTACAACATTTAAACATTTTAGATTTCAGTGTCAACTCTTCACATAAGAAAAACTGGAAAACTCTTTAACACTCATCAGGTCATTACTTCCTAGCGTCTGTCATGAAACTGTTTTCGATACACAGAACAACTAGCCTATTAGCACAGCTATATGCTTTCTGGTCCAGAATCTTCCCTGTGCTCAGTGGGGAGGCCAATCCTGTGACTGTCATGTCGGCGGTTCGCCACGCCTCACAGTACTTATCCACCAGCCGCACTCCATGGATGCTGGAGCCATGCCAAACGACCTTCTGGGGCCTAAAAAAGGAATTCTGTCATTACTTTTTGAAATGTCACTTCTTTGTGGCATCTGTGAACAAACTGACATAAATCTAGGGCATCAAGTCAAACTCCTGAGCCCTCCAAGGTCTGACTCCACATCTCCTCTCTATTCTCCTTGCCCTGTCCAGCCAGCTGGACATGCTCTATTCCAACCATATCCAGCTCGTACTTGTTTCCGAATTGCACTCTCTGCCCTGGTGAATCTGAGCCTTTGTTCATGAGGTTCCTTAGTCTGGAAGGGCCTCTCTATCATTTTCAAACCAGTGATTCCTTCTCACATTTCAAAGTCCATTACAAGAAGCCTTATTGATTCTCAACAACCGAAGCATGAGTATTTCCTCTGTGCTCCTGTCACTTTATCTGTTTCTCCATTTTATAACTATAATATTCTGTCAAACCATAGCCAGTCTGCCTGTCTTCCTCTGTAGACTGTGAGTGTTGTAAGCACAGGGGCTGTGTAGGTTTATCACTCTGCCTTCCTGGCCTGCCATCAGGCCTGGCATAGAGTAGACACTGCGGAAAGGTTTGCTGAATTTTTCTATTCTTAATAGTATTTAGTTTTCAGAGAATAATGGCAGAGCTCAGAGCACAGGGTTAAAAAGATCACCAAGAACAGCCTTCCCTCCCCTTATGAAGTGTCTACTGCATGCTGGATGTTCTCATACACACAATTTTATTCTCACAAGAGCCCTATGGTATGGATATAAGGCAGCTGAGGCTCAGAGAGTGGACCTACCTTGCCCAAGGTCCCATGCTAAGGAACTGCACTCATGTTAAGGTCCCAGGGCCTTCAGCTGCTGCACTGAGGTTTTCTGCTGGCAACATCCCAGAGGGGCAACTGGTAAAAGCATCCCATGCCTCCTAAAACTATTTATCATACTATTTACTTCCAGGGCTTCCACCCCCACTCACCAAGAAGGATCTGTCATTACGTCTCGGCCATCAAAGGAGTATATTGGAACATGTGAATTGAACTGACCTCCATGGCCAGAAAAAATTGAGTCCCAATTATTAAAAAGTACTTGGCCCTGTGGAGACAAAAATGCCACATTAGAGTCATTATACCATTGGCCTGCAAATGGCCTTATTCATTCTTCAAGGTCCAGATGCCACCTCAAACCACAGCACCGGCCCCAATCCCTGAGCCTGGACAGAGTGGGAGCTCAGCAGATATTTGTGGTTTGATTTTATTAACTACCCTTGAATGCTTTTGATTTTACAGTCTTATTTCTTGAGGTAATTTCTTTTATTACATGTGTATAAAGGCTCCTCCCCATCAAAAGTATGTTTTAGGTCTTTATTAGTTATTCTGAAAACTTTTTCATATATACTGAGCTTTAAATTTGTGACAGGCCTTGTGCTGTTTACATTGTGGGTGACACGGAGCTGAATCTCCTATTCCTTTTCCTCAAGGAGCACATTCTAAGAATACAAACAATTTGAGTGAGTAAATATGGTGGGACAGAACCTTGGGAGAGGAGATGGAAAGTGCCAGGCCTGTGGTCAGGTTGGAACTTCAAGGTTCACACTGGAGTCCTGGAGTCACAGGGACCAAAGGGTCTCAAGGTGCCTTGGAGATTCCGTGAGAGGGCAGGATCCAGGACGTGTGAGCAGCTACAGAGCTGTCTCTCTGTAGGAGACTTGGCCACTGGCATCGTATCACTGAAGGGTCTATGAGGAGGCCCTGTCTTGTCAGTGAGTGGGGGACAGAAAAATATCTGCCAGGCTGGGCACTTAGACGTGCTGAGCACAGTGGACCAGGTGCGGGACAAAGTGGCCCTGCTCTGGGACCGGCGCTCGCCCGCTGTTCTCTGGTGCCACTTGGTCAGTGCCCAGTAGAAGGCATCCTCAGGTGGACCGAGAACCCCTGATGTGGGAGTCGAGGAAACTAATTCTCATTTTGTAGTGACTTCAAGCAAATTCTTTTCTCCCTCTAAGCCTCAGTTTTCTCATCTGAGACAAACTGAGAAAATAATAAGTCCCACTTTTATTGAAAATATCTATTAAGATAATGGATACAAAATATTTTGTAAACATTTAAAAAGCTATATCAACAAAAGAGGTTATAATTTTTCCTTCTGCCTGTCTGCTCCAAGAGTCATACCATCCAAACAGGAAGGGCCACTGTAAATGTAAGGAAACTGAGGTCCAGAGAAGCAAAGTGACCCACCCAAATCCACACAGCTAATCAGGGACAGGCTGGGCCTTGAACCAGTATATTTCTGATGATGTCAGCAAATGGCAACTACTTACAGTCTCTGTGGAGACCAAGGCCTTGGGAGGCAATGGGAACCATATTTATTTTTACCTTGAGGTTCACTATTGGAAGGCTGTATCTCTCTGCTTTCCTCACAATTGTGGAAAGATCTTGCAAATGCGAGGATAAGAATGCTCGGTAAGTGGACAACAGTCCTGCAGCCCTGGCCTGCTGGAAGCACTGAAAATCAGCTCGAATGTCCCCAGAAAACGGTGCATTCAGAGCAACCAAGTGCAGCTGAAAAAAGAAAGTGGGAGAAAAGACAGTGCAGTTAAGGAGTTAAAAGTAAACTCCAATCCCCCAAACTCTTCCACGTTCCTAATAGGATCCTAGACCTCTTGGGGTAGAAGCACGCTAGAGGTCATCTTATTCACCCTCTCCCTGAAACTGGCATTCCAGTCCCAGATGCAGTGCAGGAGAGCTCAGGTCTCTCTCCCAAAGCAACCTGTGTCGGCTCTCTGAACAGCTCTGAATGGTGGAAAGTTCTTCCATGTATGAGAAAAACAAAACAGAACCAAATACTTCAGAGATCTGAGGCCAGCCTGCAAGCCATTTGCTGGAGACCCCTGGGTCTGCCCCAGCTCAGTTTCCAGGAGGTTTTAAGCCAGCTTTGGCTCTGGATCCCAGAGGTACACCAAGCAATCTGCCTCCCATCCTTTCTTTTACCTCCTGAGTAGGGCTGGGGCTGATCAGGAGGGGCCAGAGGCATTGAAAGGAGAAGGTCAAGACATTACTTGCTCAGACTGCTGGGGTGGCCTAGTTTGGAAACTAAGGGTCATACAGTAATTCTAGCTTCACATTCCTGCCATCTTGGTCAGCAGCCCAGATAAAAGTCATTCCAGAGTCTGTTCTCTCCCCAAACCCACCCTTCTCTCCCAGCCCTTTCTGCTGTACCCTGTAGAATATATTACACAATCAGGAAGTCATCTCTGTCCACAATCTCACTTCAGCAGTAACTTTATCTCATCAGCATAGAGCTGGGGAGGGCTAGGGCAGGCCGTGGGCCCAGTCTCCAGGAGAGAAAAATGTGTTAAAATACCTGAAGCCAAAGGATAAGAAATGAGCCCCATGTGGTGAGGCAGGAGGTGGTCAGTGCCTCTCTCCCTGTCTCTGCATTGTGTCTCCCATCTGAATGTCCCCAGTGCCAAGTGTCACCATGCTGACGTTCTGCTTATCAACAGTCCAGCCAGTTGGGCATGGCTGGCCAGGAACTGCAATGTCCAGACTACACAAAGTCCTTGCATTTCACTGGATATTTTCTCCATTTCCCCATCCCTTGCCTTCCCTACACTGAAGAGGATAGACTCCAAGCTTGAGACCTCTCCCAGTTTCTTTATATTCATCCCTGGTTCTGCCTTTATCACTAGACTAGATGGAGGCCCCTGGTTGGGCACCTCCACCCCCGACCAGGAGGAGGGTCCCCTGTAGCCCTCTGAGGAGCAGCATTTCATGCTGGACATTCCCAGCCCTTAGGATGAGGAGGAGGCTTTGGCACACTGCCCACTCACGACCACTTCCAGCCCCACTTACAAATCCTAGCCCTCTGATCCCCTTGCCATGTGGCCATGCAGTCCCCCACCCTTCTTCCTCTCTCTCTCACATATCTGGAAACTATGGCCCCCGAGAGAAGGGGTCCTATGGCCTCACTACCCGCCAGCCAGTGTGCTTCTGGGGGCTACCCCTAAGGGCAGTGGTGAGAGGACGGCTTCCCCGTGCTAGGCGACACTAGGGACGCGGCAGCTGGGGGTTCAGAGCCTCCCTGCCATGCCTCTCCTTCCCCCCATCCCCACCTCTCCTCCTTTAAGGGGAAGCAGGAATGTCTGGAGTGATGGCTTTTTCTGAATGGCAGCACTGGGAGCTTTTGTGCTCTCATCTTTGTATTTCTCTAATTGGTAGAACATTTTAATAATGAGTATGAACATGTCTGTGAAGATGGT